CAGTTATGCCTTGATGTGATCCCACCTTCAGTTATGCCTTGATGTGATCCCACCTTCAGTTATGCCTTGATGTGATCCCACCTTCAGTTATGCCTTGATGTGATCCCACCAAGTAAGGCTGCTTGTGATCTGATTCCCAAGCAGATATGAACCCCAGTCAGAGGCTTGGTGATGCCTCCCTAACTCCTCCATCTCTGTCCCCTTTTCCCTGTTGGTGTTCACCCTAACTTAGGAGCACATTTACACTGTCACAAGTACTAGTCATAGTTTTTGACACATAGGAAGCTCTAGTTTTTGACTACCCTTAGAATAGGGGTTGCACATTCCAGCTTGAACTAATCATGGTTAAAGTTAAGGATGATTTATATGATAGTGATTCTGTTCTTACAACCTGCTTGACCTGTTCAACTGAAGGCCTAGTAGATGTATTCATGCAACATGCTAATGTAGAGCAAAGCCAATTTTGGCTTAATTTTTTTTTTGTGGCTTATGTTAGGCAAAGCATTTGGTTACCTTAGAAATCAGTATATTGTATAAACCCAGAAAGTTAAGCTAATTCTAAAATCAGGATAAGTGTGTTTACCTGTAATAGTGCAATAAAGCTCAATTACTATCCCTTCCCATGTATTTCATACCCCTTTGTCAAAACATTTAAAAAACGTTAATGTCTTTGAAATGCCAGGTGGGGTTTGGAATAAGAAGACACTGTATTAAGCATTCTTCTTTGAGTTTTTTTTTTTAAATTTAGTTCTCTATTTTTGTTTGTTGCTTGAGCTCGCTTGTATTTTGAGTTTGTGATATACAGGGTTACAAGCGTGCATATATATGCATGTACATTAAATGTGAATAAGCCATAAATTTTTATTTTCAGCTAAAACTGCTCATCATTCCAGATTTTATATGATTTTCATTGTGTTGCTGAATGTAGTAAATGTACTGAATAAGTTCAAGGATTTTTATTATTATTATTATTATTATTATTATTATTATTATTATTATTATTATTATTATTATTATTCCTTGCCTGTAGCCTTTTTCTAAAATCTGAATATCCTACCATTTATTTATGGGCCTTATTTTTGTGGCTTTTGCAATATGTCTTCAGAGCAGCGTGGTGATGTCAACAATATGAAAGCTTAATTGAATGAGATGTGAGTTAAAAATAGATTATGTAGCAGCAAAATGATGACTTTGCCTGTGAAGGAATAAAAGGGTAGAATAGACCCCCACTCCCCATCCTTTTTCTTGAACTGAACAAAAGCAGAAAAAAAAAACCCCTCTCTTCTAATCAAAAGTGGATATGGACTTGTTCAGATTATTTTGACATTGTAGTTTGGAAGGATATTAGAAATAGAGATGGAGCATTATGACCACCAGTGCAGACCAGTACCTAACTAGGGGTCACGTGTGCCTTATAGTGGAAGACCCAGCCATGGCTATGGTTAAGCATCTATACCTGGGACGGGGAACATGTGGCCCCTCCAGATGCTGAACTACAACTCCCAGCTTTCTTCACCTTTGACCATGCTGCTTAAAACAGCTGCTGAAAGTTGGCAATCAGCAAATTATGGAGGGCCATAGGATTCACCATACCTGAACATGAGGGTGAGTTTTCTAATGCCATGCAGCTTCCATTATATCACCACCATATATGCTGCTTTATGGGTTTAATGTCTCGTGTTCTCCAGAATCATCCAGTAGCTAGACCTGAAGAGTCCAAATTCATTATGGATTGTCTTCACAATGGAAGGCTTTGAGCAGATGGCCCATTAAGATCGGGATGAAATTATGGGACTCCATGTTTGAGTGTGACGGCCAGAGATTGCTCTTGGGGCAAGGCGGATGGTGTTCTTATCCCCACAGTAAGAGAGCTTGTTTGTCAAGGCAGCTGCTGAGAAACCTTTTCTTGTAAAGCAGACAATTAGCCAGGTGGCCAAAAGACCATTAGCTATCTATATGTCATATCACGATGGACTATCACCTTCTGTGGGAGAATAGGCAGAGGAAATGGTGCACTGCCAGACATTCTGGCATTCATCCCAGGTGCTCTTGTGACTCCCCATTGTCATAATAGTTGAATTTCTCAGAAGCCTTAGATTAATGCTAAGAAAAAAGTGAGAACAAGACCTTTCAGGTGGCACATTGAGAGTCATCATTAAATATTAGCTACAAGCAAACTTTAAGATTAGATCGTGCCAAGATTCAGTCTAAGAGGGCCATAAAGTCAGAAGTGGGAGTCTAGAAGCCGACCATAAGTTATGTGCTAGTTGGAAGTTAGACCTATAAGGATTTCCTGTTATTAACTAACAAAAGATGCTATACTGTATTGTATTAAATTTCTCCAGTGAGACATTTGTTTCTCTTTGCTGAAGGATAGAATGCTTACTCACTTCCTCCCATACCACTCCAAATTTGGTTCCTTGGAAGACTAAAGGGAGCATTTTGTTAGAGTCCTTTCCTCTCAATTTGACTTGGAAACTGTTCTCAACATTGGTGAGTAGCCTATTGAACAGTTACAAGCCCAGCCATTCAGGGAGCAGTGGAAGAGGAGGAGAAATCTTCTCCTGCTGGACTGTAGAATGGGAGAATCCTTCGGTCTATGAGCTTATGTTGAATAAGAAATAAAATCCATATGAGAAATGCACCTCCCATGGAAGTTCTTACCATAGCTGTTGTAACTTTCACACATGGATGTCACGTGGCCCCAAGGTTAAGGATAGATCTGGAACAATTAATATCCTACTAACTCAATTCCCATTGCCCTGCTTATTGGATGGATGAACGGAGAATGATTACTTCCTCGAGATGTTTTAATGAAAAGTTTATTATTTAAATGACAGAAAAGGCCCAACAGGGACCGAAATGTCAATTTTGGTGTCCTGCTAATGTAAGGAAGATAATTTGAGGTGGGGAGGAGGGAAGATTTTTTCCCTTTTTTAACAGGCACTCCTTGTTCTGGACATTACAATAAAGCAATTACCATCTCTCTCATGGAAAGCGTGTTCTCCTCCGAAGGAGTTTTTTATTACATCTCCAGTAATGCTTGGAAGACTAGCTGCTGTTTATGCCATGGAGGATCCTGCAGAATAACCACCCTCTTACGTAGCCCATTTTCTTCTTCGACAAACTCATCTGAACCTGTAATTTGGACAGCATCCTTCAACTTTTTCAACTGTGCTGCTAATTATGGCACAAATATTTGGTGAAATCCAGAGGACACTCATGGAACATGAGTAGTTCCTTTGTTTGGGTTAAAACCATGAGGTCTTTGCCTTCCCATAAAAGATGTGGCACAATGCACCCCAAATTTGCCATTATAAGGATTTGCAGTGCTTGCCTGTAAAGACAGGAGATGTCTGGTTGGCATCTGACCCAGAAAAGAATAGAAGCTTTGCCTATCATACTTCTGGTTCTTTAAATGCAGAAGATGATAACTCTGGAAAAACCATCTTTTCCAGGGCTCATTTTAGCTGGTACCCATTCATAGCAACCTTCCAGACTGGAAAGGGTGGCAAAGAAAAATGCTGGTGGGAAGGGGAAGAAAGACAAGGAAAGCCTTGTGCTTGATGATATGGACAGCCCAACCAGATTGAAATTAGGCTAAGAAACTAGTCTCTGAATTAATTAAGCTATAAATTGGGTCCTGATTTAATCGAGCAATGCACCAGGCTCAAAATGAAGTGAGCAACAAATGGGGTACAAAATTAACAGAGCTTTTTTTGGGAATGCAGGGAATTTTCTGAGTCTCCATTTCTGAGTCTATCCAAGGTGTGTTTTCAGCCATAATTAGTGAGCTGACTGGAAATAAACCTCGTTTGTTATTTCAAATGTGAATGCATATATTTTTCGTGGCTGGAATGCACAAACTCTGGTTGCATCTGTAGATGGTGGAATTTCATCTTTCTTAAAACATACTATATACAACGTCTGGGGGTGATATAGATTCCTCAAGGTGCTTAGCACCAAATGCATAATATTTAATCATCAGGAAATCAAGGGGGGTCTATACATTTGAGAACAGAGTCAGAAACTTTGGATACAATCACAGAAAGACCTTCTGTGTATGGAGGAGGAGATAACTTTTTTCAAGCCAAGGGCTGAGTTTGGCCTTTAAGTGATGAAGCAAGAGGCTGTTCTCCCTACCAGTTATGACGAAAAGATAATGAGCTCAAGTTTGGTTTAAATATACTTTAAAATGAAATATGATTATGCCTCCTTTATGGATGGATTCCTTTTGTCACCTTGCACATGACAATTGGGTGGTTGGTAATTTGGTAGAGGGACAATGCGCTTGGGGTTCTATGTGGTCCCACGTTCTCTGTTTCTACTCTTCAGATGTTTGGGTCTTCCCAGCACTTGGAAAGACAGTTCCATGCAGATCTTGGGTACACAACAAGTTGAAGTTTGCCCTTCACCTCTTTGCCCTTCTCCTCTTTTACCAAGTAATTCAGAGTTCACAAGGCAATTGAAGCCCTTGAGGAAAATCAGGCATTCTGTATTTAGCCCCCAGCCATGAATAACAGTGTTCACCTCTCCTAATCAGTCATTCTTTCCCTTGTTGATGACCGTTTTTGCAAAAAAGAATATCCTTTGGTGTCTAATCAAGATTAATTATTTAAAATAAATTTAAACATTCATTTGCTCTGACATCCATTTGCTACAGAAAAAGGCAGGAAACCTTGTTCCTTTGCTTAAGGTTTGTTTTTTTTTAAGTCCTTGTACCTTGTCTGTCAGCTCCAATAGAGACAACCCTCAGAACTCAGCCCTGGATTCAAACTTCTCCTTGGATAGAAATCGCTGGAATTGAAACCATCTAGCAAGGAATCAAACTCTTACAGACTGCTTAAGGGCACTTGGCATCTAGAAGTGGGCTGGACTGGTATGACT